ATGGTGACAGTAGTCAGAAAGTCTAGAGGAACCCAACACTGTGGCCCTCAACCACCCTTTAGGGCTGAAACAGATTCACCCTTGTGGCCCAATTATCAGCCAAGCAGTCGATAGTATGCAACCATTCGAGTATGCAACCATTCAAGAGATCTAAGGGCAACATTTACCTGAGGAGAAAGTTGAGAAGGGATGGGAAGGAGGGAATGGAAGTAAGCATCTCAGGGAGGAAGTGGAATAAGTGATGTTACATGGAGGGGATGGCAATCATGGAGATGAAACAAAGTGGACGATTTGGTGAAGGTAAAACTGATGATTTTCTCACCCTTTTTTTTAAGCTTTCATAAAAATCTTAAAAAAACAAAACCTAAAACCTAACAGCAGCATTTCTGGCGTCCTAAGAGTCCGGTGTGGTGCTGTAGGTTAATGTGCTCAACAGCAAAGATGGTTTGAACTTCAAGGTCGACAGATTAAAGCTTACTAGCTGCTCCTCGGAAACCTTGTACAGGGTCGCTATGGGTCGGAACCGACTCAGCGGCACTTAACGACAGTCAAACGGTACAAACAACTTATGCGTCCATTAACAGATGGATAAGCCAAACGTAACACAGCCAGACAATGGAATCATTCAGTTCTAAAATGGAATGAGGTCCTGGCACATGCTGCACCATGGATGGACCTTGAAAACATTATTCTAAATGAAGAAAGTCAGCCACAAAATGTCACGCACTCATGATTCCATTGACATGAAATGTCCTGAATAGGTCAATCCAGAGACAGAGTTACTTTGGCAGTTACCAGAAACCGGAAACAGAGCAGGGGGCTGGGGGTGGGGCAGGTGAGGCAGAATGGGGAGGGACTGCTAATGGACACAGGTGTTCTTCATGGGCTGATGATGAAAATGTTGTGGCACATGAGTGGTGCTGGTTCCACCGCCTTGTAAAAATAATAAAAACCACCGCATTGTACACTTTAAAAGGTTGACTTTTAGGGTATGTTAGTGGCACCATAGGCTAATGCACCAGACTGCAAAGTCATTTGAACTGCAAGGTCAGTGGTTCAATCTCACCAGCTGCTCCTTGGAAAACCTATAGTGGGTCATTATGGGTCAGAATCGACTCCACAGCATTTAACAACAACAGCAAATTACATCTCAATGAAAATTCCTTTTTTCAAAAGACACCTAACTAAAGTTAATATGATGGGGTTTTAAAATCCCATGGAAAAAATTTCATTATCTTAATTCCATTTCTCCACAAAGGTTTGAAGCCCCCTCAGTCTATCATTTTTCCAAATGTTACACGTGTGCTGCCTTTGGGGTCTTTTTAATACAAGTAGCCTGCTAAAACGAAAAAGGTTGGACATGCACCGAGTTGCACCAAACCCCCTTTTTAGAGGATGTAACAAGAACGGTCTCTCTGCCAAGTATCCACCAGGTATTGTTAAGTGCCATGGAGTTGGTTCCAACTCAGAGTGACCTGCCGCTTGCAGGGGTTCCGGGAGTCCTGGTGTGGCGCTGTAGTGATAATCACTTGACTATACAGTTGGTTTGTACTACAAGGTTGGCAGTTTCAATTCACAAGCTGCTCCTTGGAAACCCTATACAGGGTCACTATGGATCAGAACCAACTCCACGATTCTCAACAACATAGGATTTCCAAGGAGCGACTGGTG